AAAAAAAAAAAAAAAAAAAAAAAAAAAAAATTCCTGGTAGTTTTATAAGAGGAGTAAAGATAATTTTATAGTATATCTACTCAATTTGGTGTTGGTTCCTAGTACTATTTTGTTCATTGACCTACTCATGTACATACTAGACATTAAACACATTATGTGCCAGGTATTGTGCTTAACATGGGGATAGTAGCTGAATAAGACATAGTCCTTGCACTCAGGTGGCAGCAACCTACAGTGGAGCACAGTGGCTCAGTTAAGAGGGTAAGATAGAACTAGTCTGCAGTATACTGATTTTAGTAAATTTATTTTTCAACAGGAGATGTGGGACATGTGGATTGGAAATATGAATTCATTTGAAAAACCAGTTTGGGGTAAGTTGATAGTTGGGAGTAAATGATATCAGAGTTACATTTCTCTTTTCAAAGTTTATGTTGGTTGGACTTCATGACTCATATACATGTAAGAAGAGGCCTTGTACTAAAATTAAAATCTTTAATAATTAGAGAAGCATAACTATATAGTCCCATTACTAATGAATTTGTACACTGATTTCTCATGGAGGAGGTCAGTTTGAAGATTGAATGGAGACTGGGTTCAGAAATACAAAGATACTTCTTACATTGTTTATCTTGGTTGAGCTTATCACTGATGCTGTCATGTGTTCTAGAAATCATTCAAAGAGCCAGTGGTGAGGATACAGGGTCATAGTTTTTCTCTGAGCCACTCTTGCACTACTTCATGGCCATTTGAATTTTTATTGTGTCACACTGTATACAAAAGATTCCTGATTCATCTAAGAAAGTACCTATAGAAATACCATTTAATATTTATTGAGTGCAATTGGACACTTGCCTCACAAGTACACGGTCCTGAGTTCAATCCCTGGTACCAAATAAATAAAAATCGAATTTCTGCATTTGACCTAATAAACACTTCAGTATGTATATGTTGATTTCTTGGGGGGTTCCAAAGACTATTCCCAGGTTCATTGATGAACTAGGAGGACCCACAGGTTTCAGCACATAGTAATGCTAACAACTAAGATTTGTTTTAGCAAAAGAATACAAAGAACTATTAGCAAAGGGCAAAATGCACAGAGTGAAATCTGGAGAAAACGAGGCACAAACTTCTGGGTCCTCTTCCTGTGGAGAAACACAGATGTGTTTAATTCCTTCAGCAATGAATTGTGGCAACATATGTAAAATGTTTTCTACTAAGGAAACTCATTAAAAACTTAATGCCCAAGATTTTTATTGGGGCTGGTCATGTAGCCACCTCTGTCTGGTATATCCCAAAATTCCAGGTTCCCAGATGGAAAGCAGATGTTAGCATAAACCATATTGTTTATACAATTTAGACCCAGTGAGCCACACTTACAAGTAGTTGGATATATTTTGTTTCTCAGAGGGAGAGTCTGAAAGGGAATAGTGACGCTGAACAGCTAGGCCACACACACACACCGAGAGGTCCTACTGGAGATTTTATTCATGGGGTGGGAGGAGAGAGAGAGCAGAGACAGAGAAGAGGAAGAAGAAGAGAGGAAGAGAATAGAAGAACAAGGAAAGGAAGGTCCTTTTATCAGTTTTGGGCTAGGCTATTGATTATTAATGAGGAGTGAGCTACTTCTATCACAGGCCAGGTTGCTTTTATGAGTCCAGCCCTACAGACACAGGTTTCAACTTCTCTGTCTCACTGTGGCCTTGATTGGAGGGAAAGTAAAGATAAGAGCATGAAGTCATTCTAAGAACCAAGAAGCACCAGGAAAATGCAGCCTGTGATGGCAGCGTCACAGCATACTTTAACATGATCAATTCTCTAACAGAGTCTGTACATTTTTTGTTTAGTTCACAACTATTTTTGTATTATATACAAATATATATTATGTTGAAGAACAATACAGGGAAATAGCAACTTAAACCACTTAAGTGAGGATCTTACAAAGTTGACCTTTAGCTTTTTAACACATGGGATCTGATTATTTTGAGATAGGAACTGTCTAAGTCACTAAGTTGCTCAATTACACTTGAACTTGTAATTGTCCTGCCTTAACTTCACAAAGTGCTGGTATTACACACTGTACCACCATGCCTGACTCTTCATTGCTATTTGAAATCTGCTTTTATGTTACACAAACAAGACAAAATACATAGGGAAAGTTCAATACTTAAAAGCATGAAATTCTAATTCTCAGTTTAGAAAGTTAACCACTTAACAGTTAACCTTGAGCATTCCTAGGCAATGCATTTGTTTATGTACTGATTGTCCCAGGTGTTGCTTATACAGGTGTCATTTCAAGCAGTTGATTCTTATATTGAATAAATTTGATTAAATGTCATTTTATATTTCCTGTTAACATAAAAATTAATGAAAAAATGTGGATTTTTTTTTTTGTTATCCTGAATTTAAATAATTGGGCTAGTAAGTGGTTAAATTAGGTTCCCTATTATAGAACTTGATAGACCACTTAGCACATTAATATGCACTGTGAGTCTCGTACAATGAATAGAGCATATGTATAACATTTCCCTAACTTACTGGATCATAGAATTTCTTTGGTGAAGACTCACTCAAGTATGGGTCCTGGTATAACATAGTTCTTTAAACAGAACAGGTCAGTGACTAAATAAATGGTCATGGGAAGCCATTAAAAGATTTTAGGACAAGGAGAGAGAGAGGCAAAATGACTGTAGAAAAAAAAATACAAAAAAGTGTTCAACATCACTGGTCTTTCAAGAGATACATATGAAAACAACACTGAGATTCCATCTCACCCCAGAAAGAATGGCTGCTATCAAGATATTAAACCAATAACAAATGCTTGTGGGGTTGTTGGGCGAAAGGAACCCTTCTTCATTGTTGGTGGGAGTGCACACTGGTGCAACCATTGTGAAAATCAATATGGAGATACTTCAAACAACTAGGAGTAGAACTCCAATTTGACCCAGCCATCCCTCTGCTGGGTATCTTCCCAAAGGAATTAAAAGAATCATATCACAGTGATATAAGCTCACCCATGTTTATAAAGACACAGTTTGTAACAGCTAAAATTTGGAAACAGCCCAATTGCCCATCAACTGGAGAATGGATAAAGAAGATATGTGTGTGTGTGTGTGTGTGTGTGTGTGTTTTATAAAATGGAGTACTACTCAGCCATAAGAATGAGAAACTAGACATTTATAGCTAAGTGGATGCACATTGAGGCCATACTCTTAAGTGAAATTAGTTAAGTTATTTATGTGTAAATACAAAATAATTTCTTTGATGTGAAAAACTAAAAGTGTGAATAAGAATCAAAATGTATAATTGATATTGTGTAATAGGAAGAAAAGATCTAAAAGAGTACAGGAAGTGGGAGGGGTTAGGGGAAAGGTAAAAAGGGAAAAGAAAAATATGTGAAAAGGAAAAACATGGAAACAAAGTCTTTGTAAACAGGAAAGTGTAGAGGGGTTGAATGGAGGGCTGGAGAATGGGGAAAAATAAGAATCAAGATGAGTCATGTAAAGGTACAAGATCCCAATGAAGAATGTAACTGTATTGTATACCTAAAATGTACCAATAAACTTAATTAAAAAAAAAACACACAGCAAAATCCTGTAGCTTATGCTGCCTTACTGGTAAAACCTTTTTGGAAACTTCCCTATCTGGATGTCCCTTTTCCTGCATGTCTTTTAGAACAGTGTGATTAGGTAATGAGGTGTGAGTCAATGCCTTCATGCCTAGTGGCCATCTACATTATCTGACAAAGTATCAAAAACAGAAGGAAAGACCCAGTATGTAGTATATGGAGAGAATTTGAAATGAGTTGTGACTCAAAAATGCTGTACCTTATTTGAAAATGAACAACATAATAGACCAAAAGTAGGCACTATGTTTTTATTTTAATACTTATGTCACTTGGAAAAACATTTCTGGAATTTTTTAAACTTTTCTTTTAAGTTTTACTTCTTTTCCCAACATCAACTTCTCTTTTATGATCTTTATGACTTTTTATTTTCCTAGAGTTGTTTCATCATAATCATTTGTTATGTCTTGTATCTAGAGGTCCTCCCAAAGCCTCTTTCAATCATAGGCAGGGATTTTTGGAGGTGGATGGATTTTTGGAGGTACCCAAAGGGCGAGTAGCCTGAATGGAATATGAGGGACCCAGAGAGGGCTGCTGCTCTCACTTGCTACTTTGCTGCCTTCTGCCTATCCTGCTTTTTCCATGGACTATTTGTCCCTTGTGATGTCCCTCTGCCATGCTACCCTTCCTTGCATAGCATGCAGCTGACTATGGACTGAAACCTCTACGAACAGTGAACTTAAGTAAACCTTTCCTCCTTTAACTTTGGATGTTGGGTATTTTGTCTCAGCAACAAGAGAAAGTAGCTAAGATATCATTTAAATACTTTTTTGTGTGTGTGGGGCGGGGCACTTTTAACTACTAGATTTCTTTATGTTAGATGGAATATGATTTTAAATAATAAAATGTTCTTGGTAGCTGCATCCATTCTTTGCCTTATAAAAACAAAATCTACCCTTTAAAATAAAGATTAAAACAAGGATGCCTGTTATCTCCTATTTGTACTAGAGGATCTAGCAAGGTGAATGAATTTATCAGTAAGTGGGCTGGGAATGTAGCTCAGCAGCACAATGCCTGCCTCACAACTGTGAGGCCCTGAGTTTGATTTCTGGTACGCAAATAAATAAATAAATAACAAGTGAATTTCTGTAAAGTAGCAACAAAATGATATCATTTTAGAGAAAAAATACTAAAATATATAACATTGTGATAAGTATTTGTATCAAACCTTTAAAAGAGAATATGATTAATTGAAATATTAACAGAAGTCTAAATAAATGGAAATAGAACTTTTTGTGAATTTAAAGACTCAATATTGTAAAGATAGCAATTTTCTCTAGTTATGTATAGGTTTATTTCAGTCTGTTTAAAATCACACCAGCTTTTCTTTTTTGGTAGAGCTTGAAAAGTTGATTCTAATATTTTTAAGAAAGGTCAGTGAGATAAGAGTAGTCAAAGCCCTTCTGAAGACATAGTGAAAGAAAAGACTTGCTTTACCATATTTCAAGAATTAGTATAAGATTCTAATAGGATGATAGCATTATTAAGGAGAGACAGACAGATCAAGGGAATAGAACACAGAAACGTAGAAACTTGGTTTATAACAGAGTTGGCTTTGAACACCTTTAGAGAGAGATGGATTGTCTTTAAGTAGTTCTAAGACATTGTCCACATGGAAACAATGACACCAACTCCCTACTGAAACAGGAAAGGGAAAGCTTAAAGTTTTTAATAAAACATTTTTAATGAGTTCCAGGCAACGAAGAATTTAAAACAGACAACTCGAACCCCAAAAACTTTGCTTTGTTC